CAGATGCCTTGCAGACCACACAAGAATAAGAGTAGAACACGTGTGACTTTAGAGAACAGAGGAGGTAAGATGGAAATAACCACTGAATAACAACCAAAAGGGAAAAAAAATATGCAGACTGCTTGGGGGATGGGCAGAAAAGTGTCATCCACACATGAACTTGTGGTATCTGTGTTTCCACCTGTAGAACAGTCCAGCAGGGACATGTATGGAGCTTATCCCACCTGTGCCTTGTCTCCAGAGGATGCAGGTGTGTGTCTCCACACAAGGGAAGGCAGAATCAGGTGACCTGCTCTAAAAGTGCCCCTTGAGAACAGTTTTGGCCTCCTGCACTGGAGCTGAAATCTGACCCATCAGTTGTGTTTGGAGCTCCCAATTTTAATGCTGCTTCACAGTTTTCTTGGAGTGACAGATGAGATGCACATTCCTAAAGCAGCTCTTGGTGCAGCACTGTGCACTTTGCATCCCCGTTTATATTCATTTACAAAGTGGTTCTGCAACAAAACAATGTCATGTTTTGCTCATGTCAAAACTTGAGAGCTTTGGAAACAGGGTGTAAAATAGCAGCTTTTACCTTAGGGAAAATAAAGGCACGAGAGGTGAAACTGTGGGAAAAAGTCCCGAGGAACTGTTTTCTCAGTCCACTGTGCAACCACAGAATTGTGTGACTGCTTTCTTTCAAAACAGATGAAAGATGGAGTTGAAAGCAAAGACGAATTTCATAGTTGCTCCTCTAGGGATGGACAATTCTGGCTTCCATAAAGCTAACCATAATTTCACAGAAAGGCTTGGAGAATCCTGCTTGGCAGTCGTGCAGTAGGAGCGAACAAATGCACAGATTCTTCATCCAAAATAGCAAAGGCTCATTTCCTTTACCATGACATTTATTCTGCTTATGACAGCGTGAAAATACAAATCTGTAGAATATAAACAGGCTGTTTTATTCTTGCCCAGTGCTTGAAGTCAAACTGTGTTGCATGATGGATGAGCTAAGGAAAAAAAAAAGTGATTATTGGAGAGGACACACTTTGTAGAAATGGGACTTTGTGCCCTGAGAGAGAAATGTATCTTCTGTTTGTCCATGGCCAGCAGGGTTTTTCTATGTTCTCATTCATGGATTGCTGTGTTTCAGCTCTGTGGGGATGTAGGGAAAAGTTTGGGCTGGGATTTGAATGAAGCCATTTTTCTGCCTCATTTATGGCTTTTATTGGATCTACTAAACTCCATCGTAACAGAGCTTGAGGGAGGGAGCTCTGTGAGCTGGCCAGGAAATGTAGGAATAATCAGTAGAATAGAAATACTCCTAATAACCTGATGTGGGAAACGTGGAGTTTGGTAAAAAAATCAACAGTGGTGGAGTTGAAATGGACATTTTGGACATGGATGTGGATTCTGACTCCACAGAATCATGGAATCATAGAACAGTTGGGTTGGAATGGACCTTAAGGATGTCTGCAACCTGTTGGTCTCACCTTTTCTTTGTGCTGAACAGAAATAGTTTATACGTTGATTTTTGAACATTTTCTTAACACTTAAAGATGTGTCAACATCCCTTACATGAATACATTTACATAGATTATATATACAAATAATTAAATGCAGTGGTTAAACTTCAGTTATTAGGTGCTATGAATATTCTCTACTAATTAAGAAGGCCATTTTCCTTCAGTATTATTTATATTCTGACTCAGTCATGACATTTTATTAATCATAACACTTTCCTAGTCATTATTCTCTCTCTTAGGTTTCATATCTATGTGCTTAATCCACAGATCCTTTGATCTTTAATTACTTAAGAACTGGCAGCACTTCACTGGTATCTTTTGTTTCAAACTTCTTGATAGCCCAAGGATCCTCTCCGTGCTCACACCTTTGCTTGAAAAAACACCAGTGATATCAATAATTACATTACTAGTCCAAGATGCTTTATGCTGTTGTTTTTTCCCAGTTTTTCAAAACTTCATTCCGATTGATAAACTCACAACTTTTCAGAATAATTGATTGCATTCACCTCTTATTTAAGTCTGAAGTGCTTATTTTATATTTGCTAGTTTTGTGCCTTCCCTAATTTGAGACTTTTGCTCCATCCCATGACATCTCTGTTCTGTTTTTAGAGCAGGTGCTCACTATTTGTGCCACAGGCTTTCTTTCCCCTGCTTTATCTTGAGTTTCCACGTCTCCCATTCCTCACAATTTTGTGATTAACCTCTGCAGCAGGACAGCTGCCTCAGTAATCACTCTGCTCAGAACTCATCTGATTTCTCCTATTTGAATATTCAGTGTCTCCCTCTCTGCTGGCTAAACCTTTAAGTACCTCATTTTCTTTCCACATCCTCTTCATCAGAGCAGATGATCTTAATTACATCAGGTACAGCCTGGATGTGATATCTGAAGTTCTGCATTATACTGATGGTTGTGTTATCATCCAGCAGGATACCAGGGCTTTTATTTCTCAGCTTTACAACTGCAAATTTAATTCAGTTCTTTTTTACTTTGCTGCCCACTCCTTTTACTTTTGAGAGTACTGAAGGAGTCACACTGGTGAAGGTACCAGTTAATATGAAGACTAATTTTATATGACCACTAATTCACACCCTTCACAGTCTTGCACATCCAATTTTTTATGTGAGGGGTTTGGTCTTGTTGCTCCTTCATATTTTGCAACCTCTCCATCAAGCCTGGAGATGGTTTTATTCCCAGTAGGCACACACAGGTACACAGAGCCCACCAGGGACAGATCACCACGGACAGCAGAGCTTTGACAGCCACCACAAACACA